AGGATGGTAGGTCCAGCCTCACCAGTGCCGAGTACAGGGGGACAGTGAGTCCCCCAGTCCTGCTGGCCACACCGTTCCTGATGCAGGCCAGGATGCCATTGGCCTTCTTGGCCACCTGGGCACACTGCTGGCTCAGTAGGTATTCAGCCGGCTGTCGACCAACACCCCCAGGTCTTTTGTGTTCACTGAAGTCTGTGACTGAGAGGTCAGCGATAACCATGGAAATGCCAGCTGACAGCAGTGTTGAGTAGCTGTGAAAGCATTACACCTTTCAAGCTGAGCCTGGTACGCCAATGTAGAGTAGAGAGGATAGAAATCAAGTAGCTTCACTGCATTTCTAGAAACAACGTAAATCAGTCTATTACATGTACCACCTCTCAGTCAAATTTTAGGTTACTTCTGAACTACTGTTTTTAAGGGCAGATGGTATATAGATCTTAGATTATATTTCTAACCATGTTTATTTATACTTGTTTTTGTAGTTCTTGGCTGAAGACTACACATTAATGGATGTTCTCTGCTATGTTACACGAGATGATCTGAAATGTTTGAGACTGAGGTAATGCCTCACAGTCAAATGACCTGTGCTGAGCAGTTGTTTTGCTACAAGAGAAAGTAACTGATACTGAATCTATTTATTCGATTGTACAGTATTTATTCAAAATAAGTAACACTTTCCAGTATGCCTTTGTATACTGATGCATTCCTGATAAACAGCGGATACTGTTTACGTTTGATTAAACTTTTCTATTAAAGGAAAGCAGAGGGAAAATTTTGAAGTAAAGCTGTTACCTTACACCTGGAGACACTGGATATCTCGTTAGAGCTTTGCTTTTATTTAAAAAGGTAGAGACAGCAAAACTTTCTGTATTTTATCATTATTCTCAAACTTCAGAAACACTACTCATGGTCTCCAGCTAGCAGTAGATTTCACCTAATCATGCCACGCGTGTGGGTCACTGCAGAACCAGGTTTAAGTAGAAACAGGAGAAGCTACCAAACACTGTGTGCCCAGTCAGTCTAAAAATAAAGCACTAAATAGGAATGATTTCAAAAATATGGCAGATGTTAAGATTGTTTTCGTAACTGCACTTTCATGAGTTGGAAGTCTGCCGTGGGTTATGCAGGTTCTTTAGACCAGAAGTCTGAATTCCAGAAAGCAGGCATCTGAAAAGTGGGAAGATTGCCCTGTGCTGTTAATCAGCAAAGGACTCTGTTCTTGGAGTATTGCGTGTTGAATTTCACCTTTGATCAGCCTTCCCACTGCATCTCATTGGTCAAAACCAGAGCAAGAAGACCAGAAGGCACCTAAATGGGAATGCTTCAGACTAGAGAGTGTCTTTGTACCTGAGCATCTTTATGGTTTTTCTTTACAGAGGAGGAATGCTATGCACGCTCTGGAAGGCCATCACTGACTTTCGAGAGAAACATGCCTGACATTGAAATTTTTCTTCACTTCTCCACAGAGAGGAAGAGATTTCCTTTCGGCACAGAGCAGGTGTGCTGTCAGAAGGACTGTTGCACTTTAATCCAGTATTTGTTTACCAATGTTAAAAACACTGCAGCTTCCTGACTTTTACTCCTGTAATCTGTAAGGAATCTGTAAACAACCTGCAACATTATTTTACTTTACATGTTTTTTACATGCAAGTTTTTAAAAAATTTAAAAAAACCCACCCAACGCCAAAAAAAGATTATAAACTCATGAAATATTGTAGTTAAAGTAACCAGATGTTAATTTCATTAAAAAATTATGTAAGATTTCATGTGACTGTACATCACTGGAACAAAACCAAAATGTGACGACAACTTCTCAAGTTCCTTTTTCTTTGTAATGTATCTCCGTAATCTATATCCGAACTTCATAATTTCAATCATAGTTAGGTATTCTTCTTTTAGTGTGCAAGACCCAAAGCTAATTGTTTTTAGCTACTGCCCTACATAGTTTAATGTTGTTTATTTTTGGTAATTTAAGTTCTATGGTGCGTTTGTTTTAGAGTTGTTTATGTACTACTGAACTGTACCAGTTGCATACACCTGAACCACAGTAATGTTAGCTTGTTCTAAAGCTATCTCTGACACACACAGTTGAAAATAAAAAGAACCTAAGACTTACTTTTTCCTTTATTTTTGGACTTCTAAAATAAGGTGTAGAACTGTAAAACATTGGAATAAAAGAGAGGAAGAAGATCATACTGAGCATCAAGGTAGCCCTTCTGACACATTAAAGTTACTGTGATTTGAGTTTGATAATCATAGCACTGAATATTTTCCAATTTTTCCTGTTCAGTCTAATTCCCATATTGACAATCCACGGCCAAACATTCTTCTCTGGCTGCTCTACTTGACCTGAGAAATTAATGTCCTGCTTCCCTGCACTGAATAGTTATTGGGACCTGTTGTTTTCTTCTGCTTTTGTTTATGCAATATGTTATTTTCTCACATATAATGAAAAAGGACAGTGGGTATTCCCTGTCCATCCACTCTCACTGTCACTCCAGCATTCTAGCACTGGGTATCATCACATTCTTATGGGGCAGCTGCAAAAAATTCCATTGTGAATAAGACTTGCTTCTTTCTTCATAAGCCTTGGTAATCAGTGAACAGCTTATGCCCTGAATTTTTCAGGTCTAGCAAGTATTTTCCAAGAAAAGTAAGTATTTTTTTCTAAACATAAATATGTTGTCCTAACATGTATGTAGTAATTTTTGCTGACTAAAAAACAACAATTATATATATAAAAGAATAGCCTAAACAAAGCACAGTAGATTAAATAATTTTATTCAAATATTTTTACTCTGAAGATGATTCCACTGATGTTTGGGCACAGATAGATTCAATGCTTTCCAAAAACATAACTACATTTCAGGAGAGACATAGCTAGTGTTTAACAATTTCTGCTGCGATTACAGCTTGAAATAGTACAGTTCCAAGGTAGTTTTAAGCGCTGGAAAGACTCAGTAGTGGAGGTTGACTTGCAAAACCCAAAGCAACTAAAAACTCCACACGTGGAAAAGTGACCTTAGGACAGCCAACTCCCCTAATTTGATTTTTGTGTGTGTGTGAAACATGATCCTGTATCAATCCATGACTGCAGCTTGAAAACCTCTGATTTCATTCAGCATGAATAGATCAGAATGTATTGGCATTGCTTTAGTTGTGTGTTGATACTTTGAAAGCAAGCAGCCTGTTCTCTGTGACTCAGTAATGCCAGCTATGTGTAAGAGAAGGGAGTGTGATCGTTTTAATATCTCCACGAGACCTAGCCTGGCACCACCTGGGACTTAATCTCTGTGGTTCCGTGCTGGCTTCATCAGCCCCAAGGTGGCTCCTGCCGAGCAGCTCAGCAATCAGTTCTGTACATGGCTGGGCCATGTGCACTTATGGTACTTGAAAGATCACGAAGTGGTGTGAATGTGGTTCCCTGAACATCACAGCTTACCCGTCTGCATACCAGATCTGTGCACAACAGCTTATGTAACGTCCCTACTTCATTGTAATTCATTGTAATTGTGCCATACACGTTACTATTTATATCCTTGGACAGAGTGTGAAGAAACGTTTTGAGACAGAGTGCATCAGACTGGTCAGCCTGGGATTCCTCAGCCTGGCTCCCTGACTGCTGGTGGGATGCCTACATGGACCGCAAGTGTGAGGGATTTGAGATAATGTTGTAAGGACATGTTATGTTTTAGTGCAGGATTTAGCCGAGGGCAATGTTTTGACTATAGGGTGTACCTCTCCCTTTGAACTTGGATAGCATCTTGGTCCTTGACTACTGCTGTTGCAATCCAGGGCTCCGGCTGACTGAAAGACACCTTTCCACCTCCGTTAGCAGAGCCAGGCAGAATACAGGAGCGAAAACTTCACCAAGGCAGTGCCACTTTTGGAGTCTCTTGCACCTTTCAGCCTATCGCAAACACTCTACTGTCCACAAACCACAGGGGCCATTTATAACCCAATCACCAGCTCCTGTTTTAGGGTACAAATGGCTCCTAATGCAACAATGCATTCATCCTCCCTTCCCCCGGAGGAAGACCTCACGCCCTGACCTTACATTTGCAGGTGGAGGACATTCTGCACGGTGGCAGAAGTTTGCTTTGTGCAGTGTGCCAGACCAAGGGAGCTGCATCCATCTGCTTGCCTCTGTATGTGTCACGGCTGCGAGCCATGCATTCCCCCAGCCACTCGCCCTTCCTCAGCCGTAGTTCTGGTGGCTGGTACTGCCTGCACGCAGATGCAAAATTAAATGATCACAGAATCACAGACTGGTTTGGGCTGGGAGGGACCTTAAAGACCATCTAGTTCCAACCCCTGCCATGGGCAGGGACACCTTCCACTAGACCAGGTTGCTCAAAGCCTCATCCAGCCTGGCCTTGAACACTGCCAGGGATGGGGCATCCACAGCTTCTCTGGGCAACCCGTTCCAGTGCCTCACCACCCTCTCCATGAAGAACTTCTTCCTGATATCCAATCTAAACCTCCCCACTTTTCAATTTAAACCCGTTACCCCTTGTCCTGTCACTACAGGCCCTTGTAAAAAGTCCCCCCCGTGTTTAAAATGATGTTTTAACCCAGACCTAGAACGCTGTTAAGAGAAACACGGCTCTGGAAAGCAGCACAGGGCAAGTTTAGGAAAGGTAACGAGGCCTTTACAGAAAGGCTTGGTACATGGGCAACTCCTGACACACCATTCTCTGGAAGCCAGGCGTTGCGGGCAGGTTAGGGGATGCACCCGCTGTTTAAAAGTGCGTGCCATAATAACAACAAGCCATCAGCAGCGCGGTTCTTCCCCAGACGCTGCGGCACACCGGCGGGCTCGTGAGGTGCCCACCGCTCCCGACACCCACCCTGGGGACACCGGCGGGGAACTGGCCGCCGTCCCC